ACGTAATGATTACTTTGAAATCTTTCTCCATCTTTTTCTTTCTTTTTGACTGGGCTCATTAATTCATTAGATATTTATTAAGTATATGCCATATGTGAGCTACGGTTCCTCTGTGCTGATTTTGGTAGATGGTACAAAGATGTATAAAAAAGATGCTGTCTGCCAGTCTTGGTTTAGGTTTTATTTCATCCAGGAGCTTTTGGCCAAGGACATGAATGGATGTTTGAAATCCAGGAGTTTCTTTGGCCACACCATGTGCCTTTGGGGCTACCTCCATTTCTGGTACCTCTTCTAATTTTCGCAAAAGCACTGTCTGCTGATCACACTGTTTTCTCTAGTGTGGGGCTTTGACTCCCTGGAGGAGGCATCATTTTCTGATTTGCACAAAAGCACTGTTTGGTCAGGTGATGGCCCTGAGTAGTGGGCATATGATAGGTCACCAGTAACTATAATACAGATCTGGTTATGTCAAATTCCAGTCTGGAGAGTTGAAGAGAGCACTGTGTATTTGATTGGGATGGTGTAATCCAAGGAAGGCTTCTTGAAAAGGTGGCATTTGAATTTCAAGGCTTTGAGGATTGAATTTTTTTATTTTAAGAAATTAAAGACATTTTGGACAATAAAGTAGATGTTAATAAATCATAGTTCTTAGGTTTTTTTGTTTAAGATTTTATTTATTTATTTGAGAGAGAGCAGCGAACGAGAGAGAAAGCACAAACGGGAGGGTGGGGCAGAAGGAGAGGGAGAAGCAGACTCCCTGCCAAGTAGGGAGCCCAACGCACAGCTTGATCCCAGAACCCCAGGATCATGACCTGAGCTGAAGTCAGACACTTAACCGACTGAGCCATCCAGTTGTCCCCAGATCCCTGCTTTTAGTTATTTTGGATATATATTCTGATGTGGTAATTGCTGGATCATATGGTAGTCCTGTTTAAATTTTTGAGGAACTGCCATACTGTCTTCCACAGTAGCTATACCATTTTACATTCCCACAGGTAGTGCACAAGGATTCCAGTTTTTCCAGTTGGAAAATAAGTTTCCAATTTTTTGCCAACACTTGTGATTTTTTGTCTTTTTGATAATAGCTATAGTAGTGCAGGTGAAGTGGTAGTAGCTCATTGTGGTTTTGATTTGCATTTTTACTGATGACAGTGATGTTGAACATCTTTTCATGTGCTTATTGGCTAATTGTATGACTTCTTTGGAGGAATGCTATTCAAGTGTTTGGCCCATTTTTGAATTGGGTTGTATGTTCTTTTGTTATTGAGCTATAGTTATGTATTCTGGAATGAACCCTTTATCAGATATATGAAATGCACATACCTTCTCTCATTCTGAAAAGTGTTGTCTTTTCACTCTGATAACTGATAATCCTTTGCACAAAAGTTTTTAATTTTGATGAAGTCCTTTTTACTGTTTTTTTTTTTTTTATGTTGTCTGTGCACTTTGGTGTCACAGTTAAGAAATCATTGCCAAATTCAGAGTCATGAAGACTTGTCCCCTATGTTTTATTCTAAGAGTTTCATAGTTTTATGTCTTAAATTTGCATCTTTGACCCATTTTGAGTTAGTTTTTTATTTGTTATAAGGTGTAAGGGTTCAGCACATGTGTGAGGGTTTATTTCTGGGCTCTCTATTCCATTTTATTTTATGTCTGTCCTTATGTCAGTACCACACTACTTTGATCACTGTAGCTTTGTAATAAGTTTTGAAATTGAGAGGCGACACTTTGTTTTTTCATTTATGTGTCTTTAAATTTATAATTTTCCCTCCCTCTGCTATGTTTTTTTTCTTCTCCTGCCACTTATTTGTTGAAGAAGCTGTCATTTGTTATGTCAGGTTTACCACATTCTGGGTTTAGCTGATTTGTAACCTCATGGTATCAATTAATACATTCTCCCACACCATGTTTCCTGTAAACTAGTAGGTCTTGATTAAATCCGGGCTCCAATTGCATCATATCAGAAGGTACTTTTTATGTTTAACTTAAGGAAATTGTAAAAAGCAGGCAGAATGATATATTGAACCCCTACACACCTGTCACCTACTTTCAACGGTTAGCAACTCATGCCATGCCAGTCTTACTTCATTATAACCCCACCTATTTCCTCCCTCCTGTATTATTTTGAAGCAATATAAACAATCATTTAAAAAATTTCTTTATATTAATTTGGCATTTTGAATCACACCTTAACTTCATATTCAGTAACAATTGAAAGCATAGAATCCTCGATATGGTTGTTCTGTTAAATCTGACCCATCTAATAAGTATATTTAGGACTAGAGTATGATCTTGGCTTTTTTTTTTTTTTTAAGATTTTATTTATTTATTTGAGAGAGAGAGAGCGCGCACAAGCAGGGCGAGCAGGAGAGGGAGAAGCAGGCTCCATGCTTAGCAGGGAGCCCAGTGCGGGCTCCATCCCAGGACCTGGGGATCATGACCTGAGCCACCCAGGTGCCCCGATCTTGGCTTCTTTGAAATTCAGTTTTTGTTACTATAGGAAACATTAAGATGCTTTGTTCCAAAACACTAAAGAAAAAAGTTAAAAGTAAAGCATAATCTAAGTGGATCCCAAAAGAAAAAAAAAAGAATTAATTTGAACTTGAGCATAAGCTTCAGAAAATGCTACTGTGATATGCTAACATTCCCCTTGGTTATTCAGCTTCCTGGTTTGGTCAGTGGAAATCTGTTGTTTCTACACTCTGTACCATTTTATACCGCTGTCTTTATTATTTTCTTTGTTGAGTGATTTGTTCTAAGTAAAATGGATTGTCAAAACAGTTGTTCTTTATTAGTCAAAGATGTAATTGTATAATCAATAAAAACATACTGTGACTTCTATAGAGGGTCTGTAAATTCTTTTAAATAGCTTTGTGGGGATGCCACATGAATTTAAAGGTACTTAATTGGTGGCATTTGTTTAAGTCTTAACTCTGGCATCTCAGCAACCACTGAGATAAGATAATCCTAAGCAGGATTTTTAGCCCTTTGGGAGCCTTTGGTTACAGACTACAAATAATTAGAAAAACCCAATAAATTCAAATGATGCTTGAAAAAAATGTAAAAATTTGGTCAGGTTTAATTGTGAAGTTAGTTTATTCCTTGTGATGCAATTTTAGGGAGGCAGAATATAACCTAGAAATGAAAAGCCTAGACTTTGGATCACCTGGTTAAAATAGGAGCTCTACTGTTCTTTAGCCAGATGATTTTGGTCAAGATATTTAACTAAGGTTCAGTTTCTTCACCTGTAAAGTTAGGGTTGAGAGATTTGACGTAGTGCTTACTGTAGTATCTGGTTTGTAGTGTTATAAATGGTATTATTAGTCCTATTCTGTGAACTTCAGGAATTTCTCTGTGCTGTGTGTGAGGCAAAGAGTTACAGAATCAGAATGTTAGAAATGGAAGGACTTTCAGAGGTGCTTTGGTCTAAGATGTTATTTTCTAGATGAGAGAGGGTGACTGAGTTGGAGAGCAAACCAGCCCTGTCCTTGGAGTTCTAGGATCAGTGCTGTTTTACTGGGAATTGGTACCATTCATACTCTTAAGACTTTTTAGACCTGAATTGTGCTTCTGTTTGGATTTGTGACTTAATTTGAGTATTTTTTTTTAAACATTTTATTTATTTATTTGACAGATCGAGACACAGTGAGAGAAGGAACACAAGCAGGGGGAGTGGGAGAGGGAGAAGCAGGCTTCCCGCGGAGCAGGGAGCCTGATGCGGGGCTCGATCCCAGGACCCTGGGATCACGACCTGAGCCGAAGGCAGACGCTTAACGACTGAGCCACCCAGGCGCCCCTGAGTATTTTGTTTATTTCATTAAAATGAGATTCCAGGTGTGCGTGGGTAGTTCAGTCGATTAAGCATCGACTCTTGATTTCGGCTCAGGTCATGACCTCAGGGTCACGAGATTGAGCCCTGAGTCCAGCTCCATGCTGCGTGTGGGCCCCACTTAGGATTCTCTCTCTCCCTTTGCCCCTCCCCTGCTCACACTTTCCCTGTCTCTAAAAAAAAGAGATTCCAGTCCTGTTACTCCAGAGTAATTAATGTTTATGAGGAATATAACATTTTATGTTACTAATGTTTTTATCATTTCATAAGGAGCCTAATCTTTTCCAGTGGAATAAGCCTTAGGTTGTATTTTTTTTTTTTTTAAAGATTTTATTCATTTATTTGAGAGAGAATGAGATAGAGCATGAGAGGGGGGAGGGTCAGCGGGAGAAGCAGACTCCCTGCCGAGCAGGGAGCCCGATGCGGGACTCGATCCCGGGACTCCAGGATCATGACCTGAGCTGAAGGCAGTCGCTTAACCGACTGAGCCACCCAGGCGCCCAAGCCTTAGGTTGTATTATACTCTGTAACTAAATTCACTTGAGTCCACCTTATTGGAAATAACTTGACAGCTGACTTTGGTGTACTGCATTGTTTCGAGGTAGGGGATTGGCAGGGAAAAGTACTTGTTATATAGATCCTGACAGAGGTATTTAGAAGTGAAAGTGCTTTGAATGCTTTAACTTATTTTCAAATGTTTTTCTGCAGTTGTAAACATAGTGCCTATTTTTAGAGGTAAGGGAAAAACATGGGAGGTGACTTTGATGCCAGTCAATAATTTGTCAGTTAAATCAGGAGTAGAATTTATATTTTATTCCTAAGTAGCTTTCTGTAACAGAGCGATAGGTTACTTTGGGAGTAAAGATTATTATGTTTAGAATTGGTTATTTTTTTCCAGTAGGCTATTTTTATTTTTACTTATTTTATTTTGGTCATGTTCACATTCTTTCCTCCTTCTTCCCTCCCATGATACATACCTATTTTGGGTCTCTGAGCCAGCAAAGCACAGAGGGAACCATTCTTAGGTAGCCTTTATACTTAATATTAGATTAGCCTTCCCCACAGATTATCTATGCTTTATTTGAATGGAATTATAAGATACTTTAAATTTGAAAATATTTTTTTTAGCTTGTTTAGCCTGTTGAACTTAATAAACGTTTCATTTTTTCAGAGGTCGAAACAGCAAAGGACTGCCTCAATCCACGGTGAGTAATTTAATGTCACTTGTTTGGAAGAATGGTAACTAAAATATTATTTCTGAACCATAGACCAAAGCCAAGGTGAAAAGAAATCCTTTTGCTTGGGTTTTATATCTCCTATAACTTTTATACCTCAGTACTGTTTGGTATAAAATTATTAGCTATATGTGTTGTTTTTTGAGATGATTCTACATATAAAATGTCAAATAATCTGTAAATAGTATTTTTCATGCAAAGTAATAAGTCATTTGTTGTTTTATAAATGGCTAAAAGCAAATCTAAATGAATAACACCCAAAAAAGATAAGTGTAACACCAGGACTAGAGTTTGCAAAGTTCTTTGGGGTTTTGATTTTGAATTAATGCCCTCTTTTAAGTCCTTCCATTTTTCTCCCTTGGAAAAGGCCTTCTGGTTTTAAATTTTAGAACTTTATCAAGAAAATTAAACTGGGCATGAAGGGCAGTTTCTTGTGATTGGAAAAAATAAATGTGAAACTGTCATTGATCTTTCAGACTTTGCCATTACTGGACAGATATTCTTATTTCGAATCAGAAGGACACATGCTTATGTAGTAAGGAGTGGTGTGGTTGATGAGACCTAAGAGCACTATCATTGATTCATATATGCTAAGAGAAGATAGATAGTCAAGGGTTTTTGACAAAGGTGCACACTCCTCCACCCCATTTATTTATTTATGTATACTTAACCCTATTTAGTGTACAGGTCTTTGAGTCTTTAATTTTTTTTTATTAATATATAATGTATTGGGGTGCCTGGGTGGCTCAGTCGTTGGGCGTCTGCCTTTGGCCCAGGTCATGATCCCAGGGTCCTGGGATCGAGCCCTGCATCGGGCTCCCCGCTCTGCGGGGAGCCTGCTTCTCCCTCACCCACTCCCCCTGCTTGTGTTCCCTCTCTCACTGTGTCTCTCTCTGTCAAATAAATAAAATCTTTAAAAAACAAAAACAAAAACATGTATTATTTGTTTCAGGGGTACAGGTCTGTGATTCATCAGTTTTACACAATTCACAGCGCTCACCATAGTATATACCCTCCCCAGTGTCCATCACTCAGCCACCCCATCCCTCCCACGCCCCTCAGGTCTTTGAGTTTTGATGCATACAGTTGTGTAACCACCACCACAGTCAAGATAATGGGACAGTTCTCTCACCTTGAAAAATCACTTATGCCGCTTTGTAGTGATCCCTCCTCCCTCTGCTCCCCAACCTTTTTTTTTTTTTTTAAGATTTTATTTATTTATTTGACAGAGAGACAGCACAAGTAGGCAGAGTGACAGGCAGATGGAGAGGGAGAAATAGGCTTTCCGCTGAGCAGGGAGCCGGATGTGGGGCTCGATCCCAAGACCCCAGGATCATGACCTGAGCCGAAGGCAGCCGCTTAACAGACTGAGCCACCCAGGCGCCCCCCCAACCTTTGATCTGTCCTCTGTTTCTGTGGTTTTGTCATTCCTCGTATATGGAAGTTCACTTGATTTTTTTGTATCACATGTAGTCAAAACATTGTTAGATGGTATGACTGTTTTCACTGTTGAAAACTTAAGCTTCTGTTCTCTAAAGAAACAAAAGATCATAGTAAACCAAGTCTTTCTTTAATGCATGTAAGGTATTATAAACTTAACTAAGCATTTTGTAACAAAATAAATGTTAACTTTAATATATAGACAAGGATAAATACTGATTGCTAATAATGTTTTTTTTCTTAATATTCTAGATTTCTTTTGATGGAATTTATGCAAATATGAGGATGGTTCATATACTTACGTCAGTTGTTGTAAGTTACCAGATTATTGGGGAGAAACTGCCTTGGGAGTGCAGTAAAGTAATTTGATGATGTTAAAATGTAGATGAATGATTCTCAAAGTAACATTTCTTAGGTCACATTTAATCAGGATTATTTAGAAAAAATAGAACTCCATCCAAACTATTGTGACTCACTATAAAAGCATTCTTGTTAACCCTGCTGTGTATAAAATAATAGTAGTAGTTGATTGTTTTTAGTGCATTATTTTGTCACCTATTAAATCCAGAATCAGAAATATTTAAGTTCAGTATTTAAATTCATACTGCAAACTCTGAGCAGGGCCTCCTGAGGAATTTTGAGAATTCAGTGTATTGTTAATGTTTTAGAATTTTTTTATTGTTCTGTCAGTGACTACCTAATATGCTGAATGAAGCCTGGTGAGCTATATAAAAAGTAAAATGTAAACAATTATCCCTCCTGACTGGGTAGCACACTGTTTCTTTGATAAATTAATTGTATGTTTTTAGGGATCCAAATGTGAAGTACAAGTGAAAAATGGAGGTATATATGAAGGAGTTTTTAAAACATACAGTCCTAAGGTAATTTTTACTCTTTTCCTTTTTGTTATATGTAAAACCCCATGAATCATCAACTACTGTATGTTTGTATGGCTTCCTGACACTGTCTGTTAGTTTCTGATTTAGCAATTTATAGTTGTGAGGTGGGCATGCTTGTCACATTTTCATGTTCTTTAAAGCACTTTTTAAAACCGCTTTGATTTTGCTCTTCAGTTTCAAATACTGATTATTTTATAGACTGGTTTGTATAATTAAACTTGCTCTGTGTGCTTATTAAAATATCTTGACCTTTTCCAGCATTGGGGGCTAGAAGGGGGATTGAGTGGTTCATTATTTTCTTCTTTATCACCATTAATATACTAAAAACAGACTATGGTAGCAAGGATCAACCTTTAGATAAGAGGATTTTTGAATGATGCAATAGATAATAGGTCATATTTCCCAGAAAAAAGTATGATTATAAGGTGCTTTTGACCTAGATTATTTTTGTCAAAGACCTATAAGAAATAGTACCTTGATGTGCTAAAGAATCCCTGTCATATTTTATTTTATAAATATTTTGAATATTTACTCATGCTTCTCATTTTAGTGTGATTTGGTACTTGATGCTGCACATGAGAAAAGTATGGAATCCAGTTCGGGGCCAAAACGTGAAGAAATAATGGAGAGTATTTTGTTCAAGTGTTCAGACTTTGTTGTGGTACAGTTTAAAGATATGGACTCCAGTTATGCAAGAAGAGGTGAATTTTGATTTCCTAAATACGCTTCATGGTTTATAAGATTTATTTAAACAAAGACTCTATATATCAATTATACAGACCTTTTTTTTTTTTTAAAGAAAAAAAATTTTTTTTTTTTTTTTTTTTAGAATAACCTGATTAAGACAGATGGGAATTTTAATGCATTTTTGTTGGAAAATATTTAAAACTTCAGAGGAAGAGTCCTTGGTACTTTTAGTAGGATAAATAATGAGAGTTTGTGTTCTACTAAAAAGGTGTGTAAAGAGGGGTGCCTGGGTGGCTCAGTCATTAAGCGTCTGCCTTCAGCTCAGGTCATGATCCCAGGGTCCTGGGATCGAGCCCCGCAGCGGGCTTTCTGCTCAGCGGGAAGCCAGCTTCTCCCTCTCCCACTCCCCCCGATTGTGTTCCCTCTCTCGCTGTGTCTCTCTCTGTCAAATAAATAAAATCTTAAAAAAAAAAAAGTTTGTAGAGAATTTTCTACAGTTCATGGTCAAGAATGCTACAGATTATACTCAACTGAAATTTCTTGTCCTATTTGGCTTACAGTCCTTTAGTTTATAAATTTTTTTTTTTTTAAAGATTTTATTTATTTATTTGACAGAGAGGGACACAGCGAGAGAGGGAACACAAGCAGGGGGAGTGGGAGAGGGAGAAATGAAGCAGATGTCCCGCTGAGCAGGGAGCCCGATGGGGGCTTGATCCCAGGACCCTGGGATCATGACCTGAGCCGGGGGCAGATGCTTAATGACTGAGCCACCCAGGCGCCCCTAAATTTTTAGTTTTAAAATGGTTATAAATAATGCTTATCTAGTTTTATTATGCTTATAGTTCTATAAATGTTTTAGTTTTGTGACCTGGAAATAAAGCACAGGTCTAAGGGAGAAAGGCAGAGAGCTGTGGATGGAAAAACGATCATCTAATGAAGATGAAAAAGGTAAAGAAGTAGAACATGCATATTTTTTTAAAAATTTCAGAGTATGGGGGGCACCTGAGTGGCTCAGTCGGTTAAGCGTCTGCCTTCAGCTCAGGTCATGATCCCAGGGCCCTGGGATCGAGCCCCACATCAGGCTCACTGCTCAGTGGGGAGTCTGCTTCTCCCTCTCCCTCTATCTCTCTGTCAAATAAATAAATAAAATCTTTAAAAAAAAAATTTCAGAGTATGGGACTATGTTTTGAAAATATAAAAGGGGTGATGTAGTTATATTAAAATTTAGTCTGTTTCAAGTGTCCACTGAGGAGGGAAATATGGGAATTGCTGTTACTTGTTCAGAGAGCATACTCTGCAGTGTTGAGTGTTCATAACATGTTGAAAGGCTCTTCTGGGCAATTTCGAACTTGGTTCTAAAATTCTTAAAATTGATTTTTCTGGTCAAATTCTGTAGTCCATTCTCTCTTTTTTTTTTTTAAATTTTTATTTATTTATTTGACAGAGAGAGACACAGCGAGAGAGGGAACACAAGCAGGGTGAGTGGGAGAGGGAGAAGCAGGCTTCCTGCCGAGCAGGGATACTGATGCGGGGCTCAATCCCAGGACCCTGGGATCATGACCTGAGCCAAAGGCAGACGCTTAACGACTGAGCCACCCAGGCGCCCCTGTAGTCCATTCTCTTGTGAATTTTAACTCACCACTATTTTTTATTTTCATTATTCAGTCTATATCAATAGCTGTTTTTGTTGCTGTGTTTATTTTTCTACACTGTTATTGAGAAATACAAGCCACCAGAAAGTTAAAGCCATTCTCTTGGACCCGTAACAAGGTTCTCACCTATAGTTAGCTTGTTTTTTTCAGAAGCTAGCAGTGCTAGGTACCTTTAACCGCTTTGCCATGCTGAAGAAAGCACTGTGTTCTGTTTTTGTACCTTCTCAAATGTCTGTGTCTCTGATTCACAACTCTTTGTCTAAGAGTCCTTCAATGGTCCATACAAGGAAACAAGTCTTTTTTTTTTAGTTGCTGCCTTAGGAGTTGGTCTTGTTTATGCCTAGGACCACAAAATTGTATTTATGCTTATACTGTTGAAGTATTTTACTGTTTTAAACTTAAAAATTAATTTTGGATAATAAGCTGAAAGGGAAAATACAATTTCAGTTGAATTTTAGTACATAACACTCTAGAAAAAGTATTGGACACAACAACAAAATGTTCCTTACTCTGTTGGGTACCAGGCCGTTTAGCTAACAGCCATTCACAATAGACTTTGTGTTTTGTTTTTTAAAGTGAATTGGCATTTCTCAAATTTGGAAAGATAAATATTACTTGGAAATATCTATGGTATCCCATTCTTTGATCCTCTTCAAAATAATGTCTTTAAATTTTTTATTATTTTATTATGTCTTTATTTCTCAGGTCATTTGTGTTCACTGTAGAAAGCCAAGAACATACAGGTCAGAGAGACAGCTTTGACAGTGTTCAGTACACTCATAACAGGCTGGATGTATTTTGCTATATACATAAAAATAGTTTTCTTGATGAGGATATCCCATAGTGGAGTAATTTTGGGTATTTAATTTTTTATTTATTTTATTTTTTTTCAAGATTTTATTTATTCATGAGAGACAGACAGAGGGAGAAACAGAGGGAGAAGCAGGCTCCCAAGGAGCAGGGAGCCCGATGCGGGACTTGATCCCAGGACCCTGGGATCATGACCTGAGCCAAAGGCAGACGCTTAACGACTGAGCCACCCAGGCGCCCGGGTATTTTATTTTAAAGACTGTAGTGGTTTAGTGAATTATACAATTGTGTCCAGTGCATAGTATCCTGAAAATAGTATTAAATCATGTGTTTAGGATTTCAGGTCTCTTAAGCCAGGTTTTTAATACTATCCTGTCAGAAGTTGCCCTCTATAAGTATTATTTTGGAGATAATGTTAGTATACTTAGAGAAAACTTTTTTAGAGTAATTAATTGGCATGGTTCATTAATTAAAAAAATTAAGACACAATCCAGTAACTTGGTAAAGTGAGGACACAAACCCAGCACCCACTAACCCCCAAATCATGTTTTTTTTTAAGGTTTTATTTATTTGACAAAGCAAGACAGCGAGAGAGTGAACACAAGCAGGGGGAGTGGGAGAGGGAGAAGCAGGATCCCTGCTGAGCAGGGAACCCGATGCAGGACTCAATCCCAGGACCCTGGGATCATGACCTGAGCCACCCAGGCACCACCCCCCAACATTATGTTCTTAAACATTGTACTATTGTGACATAAATTATGTGGTCTAATTTGTTGTTTAGCTGTGTCAAATAAATCTGCATTCACTTTAAAGGGTTTCCCTACAAATAAAGCCAAAAGGAAACAAAATTCCTATATAATATAAATATACATATTATATTATTCAAGATTCTTTTTTAAATCTTTGGCTTTATTTTTGGGGAAACTTTTATTATTTATTTATTTATTTATTTATTTTAAAAGATTTTATTTATTTATTTTGAGAGAGAGACACACAGCGAGAGAGGGAACACAAGCAGGGGGAGTGGGAGAGGGAGAAGCAGGCTCCCTGCAGAGCAGGGAGCCCGATGTGGGACTCGATCCCAGGACGCTGGGATCATGACCTGAGCCGAAGGCAGTCGCTCAACCGACTGAGCCACTGAGGCGCCCAATTTTTGGGGAAGCTTTTAAAAGTTAGGTTAATATGGCTTTTAACTTCTTAATGCTGACTTTTACTGATTTTCATAAGTTTTTCTTTTTCATTTTAATATGTTTTTAAAGTTGTCATATTCATATGCATATGCAAGTGAATAAGAGGCCTAGAAATAATTGATTTCTTTTTATGATCGTGAATAAGTTTCATTTGATCTCTTGGTTGCTGTGTATGTTACCGGATTGATTTGCGGGCCAAATGAAAAGTAACTACATTTTGTAAGCTGTGGGTTCTTTTTGCACACCCGTAATTAGACCATCAGATTATCACTGTAAAATTAGTATGTGTTTTATCCTTTATCTGAATTCCATTGCAGACAGACCTGGGATGCTCTCATTTTCATCCTGCTTCATTTTGCCACCTATTTTTTAGGGCATAAACCTGTTTTTCTCTCTGCATCTTTCTACCTTGGAGTTGATGTATTATCTCTACTCACTTTTTACCTGGTTTCCTTTCTTTTTCCAGTGTTTCTTTGTCTGCTTTTCTCCTTCACTCTCTTTCTGCTTTTTCTGTTGTTCCTTTATTCCTATTTGCTCTTTGATTTAATACCCCAACTCAACTACAGTTTAGTTTTCTGGCTCCTTCCTTCCTTTCCTTTCTTTCTTTTTTTTCCTTTTAAGATTTTATTTATTTATTTGACAGAGAGAGGGAGAGAGCACAAGCAGGGGGAGCAGCAGGGAGAGGGAGAAGCAGACTCCCCGCTGAGCAGAGAGCCCGATGTAGGACTTGATCCCAGGACCCCGGGATCATGACCTCAGCCATAGGCAGACGCTAAACCAACTGAACCACCTAGGCGCCCCCTGTGTCTACTTTCTTATTTTATTCTCCTGCTCCTGACTTAGGCTTCTTTCTACCGTTTCATTTCCTTGGCATGTTCTCAGTCTAGAGAACAGGGGTCAGCAAACTTAAGGCCTGTGGGCCAAATCCACTCATTGGTAAATAAAGTTTTATTGTAACACAGTATGCCTGTTTGTTTATGTATTGTCTGTGGCCACTTTGATGCTACAGCGATAGAATTGAGTAGTTGTAATACTGTATGGCTTGCAAAGCCAAACAGTATTTTCTGGTTCTTTATAGAAAAACATTGTCAACTCTCATCCTAGATCTTTTTTCCTACTGTGTTTGGGTTGTTAGAGCTGATCAAAAATACATACTGTACTGTCTTTGGTGAAATAACATAGAACATACTTTGTCTCTAACTCATTCTTTGACTCTTAATACTGTGTAATTTCATCTATTCCTTATTTGTGACCATTGAAATGGGATTTAGTTTGAAGAGTCACTTTTCTTTCCAGCTTTTTATTTATTTGACACAGAGAGAGAGAGAGAGAGAGAGAGAGAGAGCATAAGCAGGGGGAGTG